AATTTCAATATGATCGGAGAACATAGTATAGTGTTTTAAAGCTTACAAATTTGTAAATGCTTTTTTTAATAGTCCAAAATATGGTTTATCTTGCTAAATGTTCCATACGCACTTGAAAAGAGTGTACTCTGTTGTTATTTGGTAGAGTGTTCTATAAGTGTCAATTAGGTTAAGTTGTTTGATAATATTGGTCTTCTTGCTGATTTTCTCCTTCTATTGATTACTGAGATAAGAGTATTGAAGTCTCCAAGTACGATTGTGGATTTGTCTATTTCTCCTTTTAGTTCCGTTAGTTTTTGCTTTATGCATATTGAAGCTCTTTAGCTAGGTGCCTATACATTTAGGATTGGTATGTCTCGTCGACAAATTGATCATTTTCGTCATTATGTAATGTCTTTATTCTTGGTAATATTCCTTGTTCTCAAATCTACTTTATCTGATATTAATATAGCTACTCCAGTTTCCTTTTGATCAGTGTTTATATATCTTTTTCCATCCTTTCACTTTTAACCTATGTTATTCATTATATTTGAAGTGAGTTTCTTATAAACAGCATATAGTTGGATCATATTTTTTAAAATCTCTGTCTTCTAATTGGTGTGTTTAGACCAGGGGCTGGCAAACTTTTTTTGTAAAGGGTCAGATAGCAAATATTTTAGACTTTGTGATCCATGTGATCTCAGTTGGTACTATTCAACTCTTCCCTTGTAGCCAAGTTCACCAGTTCTTTCCTCTGTCATCTCTATTCTGCTATTGAGCCCATCCAGTGAACTTACTGTTTCACATATATTTTTCAATTCTAAAATTTCTACTTCATTCCTTTTGATAGTTTGTATTTCTATACAGAGGATACCCATTCATTTGAAGTGTTTATCTTTACCTCAGAGAGCATAGTTATAGCTGCTTTAAAGTCTTTTGAGTATTCCAGTATCTAAGTTACTTGAGGTTGGGTTGATTGTCTTTTCCCTTGGTGATTGGTTGTATTTTCTTTTTCTTTGTATGTCAAGTAATTTTGGATTGTACCCTGGACATTTTGAATATTATAATTTGAGACTCTAGGTCCTCTCAAAATCCTCTGGAGAATGCTTATTTCTTTTGTTTTAGCAGGCAGTTAACCTGGCTGGGTTCAGACTGCCAGTTCTGTGTTGCCTTTTTTGGGTGATGGTTCCAATTTTAGTTCAGTTTTCAAAGACTTTGTAATGCTGCTTTGTCTGTGTCTTTTCCCTGCAGAGTTCAGGGGTGAGTCTGGGATTTGTGCCATTTATACACAGGATTAGGGGACCTTCCCCATCTCTTTCCAGTATTCCTCTCACATTTTCTGACTCCCAGGGGACCCTTCCTTGGTCGTCTGGCCAGAAAGAAGACGTTTCTCTAGGAGTTTTAGCTGCCTGTGCTGTCACTGCTTAGGTCCACGTAACTTGGGTTGCCGTCACGGCAAAGTGATAGGTAAAAGAGAGAGAACAGAATAATTGGATTTCCTCCACACTTTTCAGACCACTGGGGTGCTATTCCCAGTTACTGTGGCTACAAAGATGGGTTTTTTCTTGGGGTTTTAATGGCCTGTATTACTGCCATGCTGTTCTGCAACTGGGGCTGCCTTCAAATTAGGGCTGGGAAATAAAAAAGAGGGAGAAAGAAAAAAGGGGGAGGGGGACTTCCTTCCACAACAACACCCCTCAGCAGCCCCTTTTCCTTGTCTTTGGGCCATAGGACAGGGTTTCTTTTGAAGTTTTTGCTGCTCTCTCTCCTCTTAAATATTGTTTACTTTTCGTAGTCCTCAGGTAGTTAGACGTTTTTTTGTGTGTTTTGAACAACGTTTTTATTTTAACTCTTTTGCTGTGTTAATAGATTTCAATTTTTTTCAAAATGTGTCAGAAATCCACAAAAAAGAAAAAGTTGATATTTTGATTATTTTATGCATTTAATAACAATTTGAGCTGCTTTGTATATAAATGACATTATTTTTATGTATAAAATTTTTCTATTGTTATTCATTCTTGAAAAACACAAAAATATAGAGAAGTGTATATCTGCTTTTCTAAACTTCCTTTCTGGAAGTTTCAATCCACAGCAGATGGAAATATTCATTCAGATATATCCAACTGTCGTGCAAAAGGGTTAATCAGTGCATGATTGAGACTATAGTGGATTTACTCCATTTTGGCCAGCACAGAAGTCCCCATTGTTTTTGTTGTTGTTGTTGTTTTGTTTTTTTAAAGATTTTTATTGGGGGTTGGGGGATGGGAACAGCGCTGGGGAATTGGGAGAAGAGGAATACACAAGTTGCTGTTCTTTTGTTCTTCAGTCTAGTTGTAGAGGATGTTGCTTCACTGGCCCAAGTTGGCACCATCATTGCACTCTTCCCGGATGAGGCAGATCAGTTGCCAGCTTCTGGACGGCTGCTCACTACGGCTGCTGGCCTCTCACGCTGGCTGCTGGCTACACACGGTAGCCCATGGCAACCCACTGCAGCAGGGGCTGCAGCCTACACTGTCACCGGTGACTCACGGCAGCCCAGCTCCAGGTTGAGCTGTTGTTCAGCATCTTAGCTGTAAAGGGCGGTGTCACTGGCCTTCATCTGTGGGATCCAAACCGGGGCCCTCTGGCATCCCAAGCCAGCTCTTAACCAATGCGCCACTCGGCTGGCCCCCATCATTGTTTATATAAAGTAAATATTAATACTCCACTCTATTAAAAATTTTTGCAATAGCTCAACCATGATATTAACTAAGCACTGCTATTACCAGCCATGATAAACTAAGCTGTCTCCAAATTTTCCACATCTCTCTTTATACTGATGAGTTTAGTCACAATTACTTTAGTTTCTACTGCTTTATCTGTTTCTCCTCCTGACCCTTTTCCTCTCTTTATTTGTAGATCAAACTAACTTTTCTCCAAACTATGGTTTAGTTCTTCCATGGACCTTGCAATTAAGATAATTAACATACTTTTTCAGAGCTCAGTGTATCTAAGTGCTCTGACACTTTTAAAAGCAACATTAAATACTAACTAATGTAAAAAGGAGCCCCTTACATATTCTTCTATCATTATAGTTCTAAAATCATTGGAATTAAATGATTTTTAGCAATCATGTGAGAAAACTGCCTTTTTTTTAGCTGAGCCATCCTGCCACCTGTTGGCAGCTCAGCGGCAGCTCAGCTTGGGCAGGACTCGAACTGCTGTTGCTCAGAGCTCGCACTCTTGAGCAATCTCTTAACCAACTGAGCCACTTGGCTGGCCCGAAAACTGTCATTCTATAGAAACAGAAGTTTTAAGAACATAGCTTATTGAGTATTATTGCAGTGCTAGTTTACTATGGAGCTAAAATTTGAAACCACCATAATTCTTTGGAACATGAGAATTGACATGTTTACGAAAACAAGCTATTGGGTCAAAGACCTAAATATAAATGTTATGCATTCATAACTAGATAATCATTGAAACTGTTGTCATCAGGAATGGTTCAATATAGATTTCCCGCTAATGTCTCCAAGAATGCCACATATCAGATTCTTTAGAGAGGCACGTTACCATCTTACGGCTTTGTTTATTGTTTTGTTCTACATTTCAGTAAAAGGAAAGGGCTATACCTGCTACTATATTTAATTAACTCTCATCTTATCATTCATTAATTTTAAAAAATTGATCTCTAAGACTCTTGTTATACTTTACTCTCAGAATTCTGAAACATGGATACTAATTGTGGACTAATAAGATCTATCTCCTCTTTTATTTTGTCTGCTAAAATGTCTGGCATCTACTTTCTATGCACACCCCTCTTCCTTGCCCCCAACATTGTTTTATTGCTCAGTATTGTATCTGACCATATATTCAGGTCAAATATTTAACATAAATGTTTTAAAATGAACCTCCCGAATTAATTCCATTTAACATATAACTATGTCTCTGAACATGTAGTGAGCACTTACCAGTTACTATCTACCATCCTGACTGGATATAGGTGATGATAGTTGCAAAACAATATGAATGTACTTAATGCCAGAGAACTATACACTTAAAAATGGTTAAAATGGTAAATTTTATGTTATGTATATTTATTGTTTTAAAAAAGCTATGAAAACAAATCAAAAATATCTTTCAGGAATTAGAAAAATTAAGTTTTAATTATCTTCAGGTGACGTGTTTTTTTTGCCCCCTCGAAAATGACTTTTAAAGAATTAAGGCAGAGTCTATAATATAACAGGCTTGTTCAATTTCTTTGATTAAAGGTAAAAGTGCCTAATCTAATTATAAACAATAAATGTCTATTATGTTAATTTCTATTCATGAAACACAGCAAAGATAAGGAGTCTGGCCTTGAAGCATTTATATTTTGAGTATCAAATATGTGAATATAAACTAGTAGTATTACTTGGCCAGGTGTCATTTACTGTAATTCAAAATCTCCCAACAATTATAATTCTAGAACTGAATTTAGACCACAGGATGTGCCCCTTTTAAACTGCTCTCCTCTTTTGGTTTCTAGTTAGTGATTGCCCCCTGATATTTTTTAAAGCTAAAAGTTTTATATTCGATTTGCCTTTTATTTGCAATTTTTATATCAACCTAGGTATAAAGCAAAATGAATTTGATTGTAATTATTTTCATTGTTGCAGCTCTTCATTCACCTGTTTTCATCAGAATAAAACTTACTGTGGTTTCTGATAAGATTGGCATGAATTTCTCAGCCAGAAAGGAAGATTTGGGGATGATATCCCTTGGGAATATAACTGCTTTCTTGCTTGGTGATTTGCTTCCATTTCCTAGGTTTTGAGATTAATATAGGCAGTTTAAAGGTCTGCATGCCAAAAGCAGAAGACACTTCGGAATTTTTTCATCATGAACTTTAAGGAGTTTATGATTGGCTGGATTACAATGTAGGAAATGGATGATTTTGCAGTAAAGTAAATAGAGCTTGAAATACAAAAGAATGGAAGCTTCTACATGAAAATGTTTTAAGGGGAAAACATATTTTCTCTTTATGGTTCATTCTGCTCTAGGAAAACACCACCAAGCAAGTGAAACACAGAATGTGATTGCATCGGACAAAGCAGAAGTACCAGTTGCCCATGAACACGAGCACAGCCATGACCACACACAGCTGCATGCCTACATCGGTGTTTCTCTCGTCCTGGGTTTCGTTTTCATGTTGCTGGTGGACCAGATTGGCAGCTCCCACGTGCATTCTACTGATGGTAAGTGACTCCAAGGCTTTCTGGGCAGTACAATAAATTTGCAGTTTAGAACATCACAAATGATTGAATAATTCAGTGTGTGTCACTGGCCTGATTCAGTGCTAAAACTCTTGTCTTCTTCAGGTTCCCCTAAACATTTTATTCAGTTGGGGGAGCTACTGAGTTGTCGCATGTGGCACAAGAAAGTGTTTATTGGGTATTATCCATGTTACCTTAAAGCTGTCACTCTAGTTAAGAGTGTAGGGCAGGTTCTTAACCCTTTTTGTGGCATGGAGCCCTTGGGTAGTCTAAAGCCTATTGACGGACCTTTTTTTGGAATACTGTTTTTAGATATGTAAAGCATAGTGCATAGGATTACAGAGAAAATCAATTATATTGAAATATAGTTACCAAAACATGAAAACAAATATCTGATATGTCTTCTTTATTGATGCATTAAATAATGAGAGAATACATTTAAAACATAAGGTTAAATTTCATTTTTTCAGACATCAGTATGACAGCTACTGTTGTGTAACTTGACTAAGAACATTAAATTGTGAGATTGCCTTTTACAAGGCAACATGAATGTCAAGTTGAGCATCTAGTTCATTTGGGCTTTTGTTTAATGTTTACTAGTTTAGAAAATCCTAATTCACAAAGATATTTTCTTACACATATACTTGAGATCATTTGTAGGTTGCTTATCAAGGAAAGATAAGCTTCTCTGAAGGACAGCTAGAATTCTCCAAAACTTTTTAAATTTAACTCCAGTCTTAGTAATTTTTTTGTCTTAAGATCAATGAATTCATCTTTGGGGAGGTCAACATCTTTGATATGATTTATATTAAATAAAGGATTCTGATCCATGAAACAATTTTGAAGCCATAAAGATAGAAATAAATTTGAAAGAGTTATAATAGACACAGGGGTTTACAGATATCTCTTTTCAAATACACTGACAGAGAGTTTTGCAGATAGAAACTACTACAAAGCAGCACAGATATCTTGGTCCCCAGTGGGCAGCAATCCCATGACCTCTGTTTGGTGGTTGGAGTGAATGACTGTTAGGTGCAGAGAAGCCTCATAGCTGCCTAGCTTTCTCACATGAGCATCTGTAGACAGGAAGGCTAATCATGCAATGTGGTGGCAGTTCTGTAAGCCCTAATTTAGAGTAGTGATGACCAAAAGCAATAATATCAAGATATCTTCACCTGTAAAATAATATGAAATTATCTGGTTTCTATTGGCAATAAATTATAAGTAGTGCTAACATGATTTGTGGTTTGTCTACATTCATAATTAAAGGACATGCTAATTTTCAGTTAGAGGCTAATAAAAATAAAAATGCATTTTTTTTCCACGTTAAGGTCACAGACACCCCCTGTATTCTACCAGTGTTCTCTGTGGACCCCAGGTTAAGAATACTAAAAAAAAACTATAGAAAAGCAGGCAAAAGACATGAACAAATACTTCATAAAAAGATAAAAATGGTCCTTAAGCATATGAAAAGATGATCAATTTCACTTAAAATAAGAAAAATGCAAATCAGAACTGCTGAGATGCCATTTCTCACCTGTCAGGCAAAAACTCAAAAGCTTGACAATACACTCTATTGGTAAAGCTATGGTGAAGCAGAGACTCGCATCTATTGCTGTGGGAATGCAAAACAGTACAGCCCCTGTGGAGGGGAATTTGGCAATGCAACAAAATTACATATGTAATCTCACTTTAGGAATTTATTTCAACAATAACAGCTCCAATATGAAAATACTTATGCACAGGATTATGCAATGCAGCATATTTATCATTGTACAACTATTTATGTGTAGTCATGGAGACTGGTTAAATGAAGTGTAGTGTGTACATATAATGGAGTTTTATGTAACTATGAAAAAGAATGAAATCAGTTCTCTGTGAACTGATAGAGATTTCTAGGAGATAATGTTAAAGAAAAAGCAAAAATATAAATTAGCTTCTATCATATACTATATTTTGTGTAAGAAAGAAAGGAAAATAAGAATATATATGCTTATTTTTACAAAATAAAAAAAGAAACATAAAAATCAATTAGAAAATAAAGGTGGTTACCTGTAAGGGGGATGGGGTGTGATAGGGCAGAGGGTTTTAGGAGTGTATGACACTGGACATGCTTTTTTGATATAGTTTTGACTTTTAGAATCATGTTGATATTCTCCATATTCAAAAATAAAATGAAATCAACAAGGATGAGGGAGCTAACTGAAACAGATGAACTGTATTTTAAGTGACTGACATAATCACAATGAAGGGAATTAACAAAAAACTAACCCAAGTAACTTACAAATGTAATATTTGCCTGTATACCTTCAGTCTTGGGTGGAATTGGGGAAGAAGCATAAACAAACAGTGAACTCTTCTTAGTAGGCTTTGCTTTTTGTAATGGTGTGAGCAAAACAATTCTAAAACTGTTCAGATGTATTATAAGGACTGAGCAAATGAGTAAATGTGGTGATGTTGGTAGAACCAGGGTTCTCACTGTGGAAGAAGGGACATACAAATGTGGAATGGGGTAAGGTAAGAAAGAACCCTTGTAAGGATGGTTTGGAATTCGAGCAGTTTGGACTCATGATTTCTAAAACTTGTATGTGTATAGATATGTATATGTGTACAAATACATGTGTATTTATGTACACATATGTGTATGTCCTAGCTCTGTCTGCAGGGAAGACCTAGAAGGAAAGACCACCCCTACTCTCCCAGCAATGAGCATACCAGGGCTCTTCAGAGAAATGGCTAATTCTAGGTCAGGGGCAAGGTAGGTACAAAATGAATTTGGAACATCTAGTGCTCAAACAAAGCAGGAAGGAGGAAGTCGGAAACATGTCACAGTATATATGAACCAGCTTGAAAGTGCTCCCACTGACCAGATATAGGACAGCTTGAGCACCAAAATCATAAAGAACAGTAATGAAGTGTGAAGCATTGAAAAAATGGGAATCGATGAGCCCATCCAAGCTGGGGCAGGAGAGGGAGGGAGGGAGATAGAGACAGAGAGAAGGGAGAGGCGTTTGTGTGGGTGGAGAGGGAGGGAGAGAGGAGAGTAAGAGACGGGAGGGGGGCACTCGCTCACAGTAAAACGCCCAGTGCCAACGTAAATGTGGAAGGAGTGCTAGAATTGGAAAATCATCATTTGTTCAACCTTCATCATAAAAATTGGCTCAGGCAAGAATCAATGAATGTTAAATATAGAGGCTAAATTTTTATTTGATTGCAAGGGAAAAGAGGTAACCAAATGAAGAAATCGGACAGTACCTTGACTAGATGATCCAAATGAATGGTACTGGCGTTCTGCTTTTGGTGTGGGCAAGTGAACTCCTATCAGGCCTGCCTCCTTACAGATAACTGTCAACTCTGGACACAGGAAAGTTACCTAAAGCAGGCAAATTCTGGAGGAGAGTCAACAATTGAAACAGGGTGATTCCTATTTTTACTGCTTTTAGCAGTCAGCACCCTGTGGGGTAGCCAAAATTCTGATAGAAAACCCTGTCTTCCTGGCCTAAGGAGCCAGAGGGCAGTGTAAGTAAAGCCACTGGAAAGCAAGTAGAGAATCTTAGGAGAGAGGCAGAGAAACACAGCCCCAAATTCTATGCATAAACTCTGCCCAAGTCTCTGAGCCCTGAACCATGCCTTTCCTGGCCTGACTCCGGACAACTCAGCTAAAGATGAAAATTAAACTGAGATTTGAGCAGCCACCAATAAGACAGTTTGTAGTTTGAGCCAAACCAAGTTACTTAAAGCGAAAGAAAAAAATCAATGCTCTTTGGAGGAATATAATAGAATCCAGAGTATTCATAAGATAACATTCACCTTGTCCCAGATATGATTCAGAATTCACACCACCGGTGAGCAGCAGATGTCCATCTCATGCCTGTAGATGTGATATCCTGAGAAGCATTACCTATGTAGTAGTATTCCACCCAAGAGCGCATAATCTACGGACAACTCAAAAGGAAAGGTCATTCTATTAAAAAACAAGAAAGGAACAGAGAGGGAAATGTAGTCTTGAAAGATATCAATGCCACAAAAGTCAGAGACAGAGAAAATGTTCCAGATGAAAAGAGACTAAAGAAATACAACTAAGTACAATATATGATGCTAGACCAGATCCTTCCCGGATAGGAAAAATGCTCTGAAAGACATTCTTGGGCAATTGACAAAATTAGAATTTGCAAGAGAGATTAGAAAAAAAGTAGCAATGTTAAATTGACTGAAGTTGATAACTACTGTGATTGCATAATAAAATGTCCTTTCTCTTACAAAATATACTCCGAAGCATCTAGGAGTAAAGAGTTGTGATGTATGTGACTTACTCTTAAATGAAAAAAAATGTATATGAATGTGTATTTGTGTGGTATGGATAGAGAAAGCATGAGCACAAATGATGAAGCAAATGGGACGAAATGTTACATAATAGGTCATTCTGTAAAAAGGGTGTATGAATGGTTTTTAAACTATTCTTACAATTTTTCTGAAGATTTAAAATTATTTCCAAATTAAAGGTTTTAAAAAATTATAAGATTGAACTTAAATTAAAAATACTGTTGATCTAGAAAGGTTTTTTAATCTTCTTGCATTTACTACTACTTTTTTTCCCCATAGACTTTTTAAAATAACAAAGTCTTATCTTGGAAAATTGAATAAGGAGTAAATGGTTTTTGTTTATGTTCTTTATTCCAAATAGCAAGTGAGAAGCACCCCTATTGGATGGCATCTGACTCCAACTGCATTACACAGTTACTCACAGTAGCCTCTAGGACATTTTTCTTGCAATTCTTATCAGTTCCATTTGAAATACATTTTATGTTACTTTATTATTCCTCCTCTTTTATCTCTGAGGTCATTGATTTTGCTGGCTTTCATTTATCTGATGACCTGGTTTTACGTATTATCTGCAGGTTTTTATATATTATTAAATATCAGTAAAAGTTAATCCACTTATTAAATTTATGCTGAAGTACAGTTGGCCCTCCATATCCACAGGATCTGCATCCATGGTTTCAACCAACTATAGAAAACGTTCAAAAGGAAATGTTACGTTGTTGCTGACGTATACTATGTATTGGGCTGTCAGAAAAGTCATGACGTATGTTTTCTATGTTTTTTGTTGCAAAAATGCATCGTGACTTTTCCAACAACCCAATAGTTATTTCTACAATGGTTACGACTGTACTGGATATGTACAGGCTTTTTTCTTGTCATTATTCCCCAAAAGATACAGTATAATTATTTACATAGCATTTACATTGGATTAGGTATTAGAAGTAACCTAGAGATGATATTTAAAGTATACAGGAGGATATGTGTAGGTTATATGCAAATACTATGCCATTTTATATAAGGGACTTGAGCACTGGCAGATTTGGTATCCACAGGGGGAGCAAGGTTCTGGAACCAATCCCCTGTGGATGCAGAGGGACAACTGGACAATCTTTTTCTATAGATTTATAAAAATTATGTTTTAATTTTAAAGCCTTTAGTTTTTATTTAATGCTACTTATAACCAGACCATAAGACTGTGTATGAAGAAAAGACAAAACAAGCTTATCACAAAGTGTAATATGATTGTTCTTCTTAGTTTGGGGTGATATTGAAATATTTGTTGTCTCAGTGTTTAGGGGTCTTAGCTTCCATTCCTTGCAGTGTTTTAATTAAAAGATAAATTTTACTGGTAAAAAAATAACCTTAGTTTACTGTATATGCTTTTTCTATTGTAAACCATTCCTTCTGTGTGCTGGGCTCCTCCAGATTAAATCCCTTGGCATTTATTTGACTAATGTCCGTCTGTCATTTCACCTGGCACTTTGATGTCCCCATCGTTTAACTTTACATTGTTTGGACATTTTTACTTGCCTGTATATTTCCTATAATAGCAGTAGCATTCATGTGATACAGATAAATTTCATTCTTCAACAAGGATTTATTAAGCAACTGTTAAGTGCCAGTGTTTTGCTACATTCTGTAAAACGTGTAAAAAAAAATAGAAGTAGGAAATGTAATTCTGTATTGTTTACAGTCAATCTGGGGATAAGACATTTAAGTGAAAACAGTTTTCTATAACTGAGGTGGTGATACAGAGGAAACTATGAATAGCATGTAGAGCCTGTGTGCAGAGCGCCCTGGGTTTCCAGGCAAGGAGCAAGTTTTTCTGAACTGGCATTAATCTTTCTTGAGGGACCTGGTCCTAGATTAGACTTTGAACAATGTCTAGTTTTTGGATTGACAAGCTGAGAAGTCCCGTCCCATACATGCCAAGAATTAGGGGTGAGGAGATTTAGGAAAGGAAAAGGAGAATGTTTTGTTAGAGAGCGTTAAAGAAACTGGTTGAACTGGGCTAGATAGCAAGAAAAAAGATGATACCAGTTGATAAAGGGCTTAAGAACCTACTGAATAGAGCATTTGGGGCTGAATTTGAAAAGCAGCGGATTCTTAACTGGTTAACTGACACATCAGAAGGGTGGTGTTGCAGAAAGGTGAATCCCACAAGCATGTGTAAGATGAGTTTAGGTTACAGAGAAATGAGAATAAGGGGAAATGAGTTGGGAGCCTATTGCTAATTTCAATTTGAGTTGATGAAAATTTAGGATGGTGGCAATAGAATGGAGAAAGGCAAATATGAGAATAAAGATAAAGTTGCAGGAGGCTGGGGAAGATGAGGAGGTAGGCAATGACAATTTGGTCTGGAGAGAAGTGATCAGAGGCCACAGAGCACTTTCCATGGAGAGGTAGAGGGTTGAGGGGTATGAGACAGTTGAAGCAGCTGGGGGTTACACATTGTCTGTTCAGGAAAGGCTGGGTCAAATGAAGAGTTTCCTCCTGCCCACCTCTTCAGGATAGGGGAAACCCCTAAGTGTGTGAAGCAGAAGCAAAAAGACAGCAGTGAGAAGAAAAATCTACTACTTTAAGAGCTTTCAAAGAATTCTTCCACTTCTAGGTCAGCGTTCTAACAGTTACTATTTCACATTGCTTAATGGCTGCTGTGCTTATTTTTGCTTCAGATCCAGAAACAGCAAGGCCTAGCAATTCCAAAATCACCACCACGCTGGGTCTGGTCGTCCATGCTGCAGGTATGCAGGAACCCCTTTCTTTCTGTTGTGCAGTGGGAGACTTAGTGTGTACATCACAGGGACCATCCACATGACCCGCCTGTGGGCTGGCCTCCAGGGAAAGGGCTGCTGAATTAAGTCTTCCAACAGAAGCACAAGCCCTGGTGTACTGTGTGTGAGGGGTTTATAAGCTCAGAATGGTTTTTATATTTTTTTAATGGTTGAAAAAAAAAGAATATTTCATGGCACATGAAAATTACATACAATTCAAATTTCAGTGTCCATACATAAAGTTTTATTGGAACATGGCCATACCCACTTGTTACATATTGTCCGTGGCTGCTTTCATACAGTGAAGGAGTTGAGTAGTTGCAAGAGACCAAGTGGCCCGCAAAGCATAAAATATTTTCTATCTGGCCTTTTAAGAAAAGTTTACTGCCCTTTGCCTAAGAATCTCATCTGGAAAAGAGCCTCAGCACTTTTGTACTGAATAGTCCTGCTGCCCAGTGTATACCCAAAGTGTCAGTTTAGTTAGGCAGAGGTGGGCTGTAGAGTGCCAAAGTCTCAGCGTTACTGACTGGCATGCCTTAGAATCACAACCCAAAGCCAATTCTAGTCAGTGATTCTGTCAGTGACAAACGCAGACTGTGAAGGTGGCACACTATTATCTGGATTTTTCTATAATAGTATCACATCCTTTTCTGACAAAGAATTCATCTATTCAGCCAACTTTTACTCATTGTGTATAAGTCATCTATGCAGAGTCCTAGTGTCTTTATTTTGTTTTTTTATCTGCAAGATGCCGAGATGCTTCCTTTGAAATTCTTTGCTTTTTCTGTCATAATTTGATTAATCAGTGAGTTTTTGAGCTTCACACTTCTCCCAATAACAACAGTAATGGCTGACATATTAAATATCCTGGACCAGGTGCTAAGCTATTTACATGTTATCTCATTTAACCCTCATGAAAACCCAAAGAATATATACTTGATTGAACCCATTTTAGAGATGGGAACGCTAAGGTTCGGAAAGTCTAAGTAACCGTCCCAGAGTCAGATACAGCTCCACTTGATTCTAAAGTTCATACATTCAACCACTAAACTGTCATAGTCGTTGTTATTTATAATGTTTTATGTTTGCTTTCTTCAAATTTAGCTGACGGTGTTGCATTGGGAGCGGCAGCTTCTACTTCACAGACTAGTGTCCAGTTAATTGTGTTTGTGGCAATAATGCTACATAAGGTATGCAAAATTTTGGTGTAAGATTTAATATTGAATGTATTCATAATTAAAATTTCTCTTTTGGTCATTAATGTTTTTAATGGGGAAAATTTTTTAGTTATTGTCATAATTCCTATTCATTTTAAAGAATTTAGTAAGTGTTTCATAGCTGTTTTTTTGTTTGTTTGTTTTGGGGTTTTTTGCTATAATTTTCCTAAACTTTTACTAAAGAGGTTTTATTTATTTTTTATGGTCATATACAAACTTAAATTCTCTACAGATTTCTATATTTCATAGTAATTTTTTTTATAAATATTTTTCTTTTCTTATACTCTTTTTTTTTTTTTAAGATTTTTATTGGGGAATTGGAACAGCGCTGGGGAACTGGGGGAAGGGGAACAGACAAGTTGCTGTCGTTTTGTTCTTCAGTCTAGTTGTGGAGGACATTGCTTCACTGGCCCATGTTGGCACCATCATTGCGCTCTTCCCAGGCGAGGCACATCAGTCGCCGGCTTCGAGATGGCCGCTCACGCTGGCTGCTGGCTACACATGGTAGTCTATGGCAACCCACTGCCACAGGGGCTGCAGCCTAGGCCGTCGCCGGCGACTCAAGGCAGCCCAGCTCCAAGTTGAGCTGTTGTTCAGCATCTTAGCTGTGGAGGGCAGTGTCACTGGCCCTCATACGTGGGATCCAAACCAGGGCCCTCTGGCGTCCCAAACCAGGGCCCTCTGGCGTCCCAAGCCAGTTCTTAACCATCGCACCACTTGGCCGGCCCTCTTATACTCCTTTTTTTTACCATTTCTCTTTTCCTGCTATCCAAGAAACACACACACATACAAATAGGATCTTTTCTTAGCTTAGAACATTAATTCTGAAAAGGCAGTCAGTTTTGGTATTATGCTTGGTGTTTTTTTTTGTATGAAAATTCAGTCAAATGACATATACTTCTTAATATAGAAGCAATCCATACTTGTGGAGCAATAAAAAGGGATCATTTTTCTTTTCCAGGCCCCAGCTGCTTTTGGGCTGGTTTCCTTCTTAATGCATGCTGGCCTAGAGCGGAACCGAATCAGAAAGCACTTGCTGGTCTTTGCACTGGCAGCACCAGTTATGTCCATGGTGACCTTCTTAGGATTAAGTAAGGTAAATCGGACTCGTTCCTAGCTTACCTAGACAAGTGTGTGCTTCTGCTGTGATCTGCTAGAATTTATAGTCTCTTATGTGGAATTTTTCAATTATCCCCTCAAACTAAAGATAAAATTAGGAGTAAAAACCTGTACAAGATAAATGTCTTAATTCCAAGTCAATCCTCTTCATAAATCTAGAGCATTTCCTTATTCATTTAATTCGAAAACTTCTCCCCACTAATTCCAAAAATATTTGCACAAATATTTGATCTTTAAAATAATATAACTTAAACCTAACCAGACATGCTAGTTTTATTTGATAGATACATAATAAGTCATAACAATACATATTTAATGTTTAAGTAGGCACATGAACCATGAGTGAGAAGCATGCAGCAGCTCTGAGAAGAGTGGGGGATGACACAGATGTCTATATTCAGCTAAGACTCAGATTCTTCTACTCCCAGCTCTCATATCACCAAATATTAAATATCCAATTCCTTGGAATCTAAAAAAACAAAGCAAATGAACAAACAAAAGAAAAATAGTTTCACAGAATCAGAAACCAAACTGATGGCTGCCAGAAGGGTGGGGGAATGGGTGAAAAAGGTGAGGGGGCATATAGTCAGTAATATTGTGATAATTTTGCATAGTGACAGATAGTTACTACAATTAGTGAGGTGATCACATTGTAAGGTATATAAATGACAAATCACTATATTGTACACCTGAAACTAATATTGTATACCAACTATACTTAAATAAAAATAAATATCCAGTTCTTTATCATTGTACTGAACATAGCTTCAGACCTGCAGTGGCATGAATCGTTTGTCAGCTCAGGGACCCTGCTGTTCTAAAAGGACCTTTCCTGCCTTATAATTCTGTCTACTGGGACTGCAGTTCTTAGCAGCAAACCTCCCCATTTTACTTAAATGTCAACTAGCAAGCAACAGGAAGAAAATTTTAGAACTGAACTGACTCAGGGCTAGTTCATGGGAACTGCTTTCTCCCATATTCTCTCTGAAGGTCACCGATTCGTCTGAGTGTCATCCAGTTCATATTTGATATAGTAAAACTTGTATTAAAAGGGACATACGAGAAATGAGATGGTTAAAGGATGGTTAAATTTCTGTTAATCGAGAGTTTGTTGATTTGGATTGCTAACAAGTGAGGTGCTATAAAACCTTTTTCTGTTCACCTGAAGAGCCTTATCTTTTTTCAGTGAGCAATATATAGTTCCTTTTAAAATAGTACCTTATTTATCACTTCATTAATCAGTATAAGTCTTTAGAACTTTTGAAAGGAAGGTATGATAATTCTGAAGGCATGGAGTTAGATTTATGGCATGTTCTTTTCTTAAAATGGTAATTAATTGTCTTAGTCCATAGGTCCACTTTTTTAATAGAAAATTATTTGTGTAAAGATTAGCTTGTGAAATGTTTCTAGGCTCTGTGAGGGCAAGTACTGCACCTTTATCACCAGTGTGTCTCAAGCTCCTGGCTTACAGCCTGGTGCATAGGCAGTGTTTGTTAAATATTAGTAGCCTAAATGAATGAATGTGTGAAATTTAATATCTGTGTTAATAATGCTGTTGATTCCATCTTAAGAATAATACAAGCCAAACCTGTTCAGCCAGACTGAAGTTTGCTTGAAAACGCAGTTGTGAACATCACGAATGGTCTTAAACCCTTATTTGGCAGCTTCCCATAAATAACAGAATTGCTGTGATTTCAAGATGTCCCCAGTATCCCAGATAGCACCAGTTGTGAATATTGAGTGTTACTTAGTAGGACTTCTTCCTGACCCTGAATTATACTTGACTTAATTTTTCTTTTCTCTCTCTCTGAATTCACAGAGCAGTAAAGAAGCCCTTTCAGAGGTCAATGCCACTGGAGTGGCCATGCTTTTCTCTGCCGGGACATTTCTTTATGTTGCCACAGTACATGTCCTCCCTGAGGTGGGCGGAATGGGACACAGTCACAAACCCGACCCCACTGGAGGGAGAGGCTTCAGCCGCCTGGAGGTAGCAGCCCTGGTTCTGGGTTGCCTCATTCCACTCATCCTGTCAATAGGACACCAGCATTAAATGTTCAGGTTCCAGCCTCCGTCCATGGCCGTTTGCCATCCAGTGAGAACAGCCCGGCACATGACAGCCGCTCACTTCCTCAGTCTCTTGTCTCACATTGCCCATCTCCACCTGTATTCCTAGAGTATGGAGGGAGGTGAGATTAAAACCTGGAGTAACAGAAAGCTTTTAGAGTAGAAACAACACATTCCCTTGTGTTGTCTTTTAAAGGGCCCTGGGCATTTTGAGTTTTGATGTTTCTCTTAACCCTATTCTCAGGGAAGGTGGAATTCGGTTTTAAGGAAAACTGGAGAACTTCATACTCACGATGACAGTACAGTGTTCTGTAATTAAGGTAAATCTCTTTCTTAGTTTAGAGGCTCTGCCACTTTATCCATTGACTTTTAACATGGTTCTCGCCGTGTAAGACTGGTGCTTTAGCATCTATGCCATATGCCTTGTTAGAAGGTCATAATGGCCACTGTCTTAGATGCTAAAGATAACTGTAGTTAACTGGGGGCTAGTCAGGAAAATGATAGCAAGATATGTTGAAAGTTGACTTTATATCCAAGAAAGAGATACCCACTTAAAAGGGGACATCTGGAGGACTTAACACCTCCTGTGCCTGTGAACAGAGCCTGCCAATCCACCATGGAGGTGTAGCTTCTAAGGAGGTGACTAGTTTTCAGTAGCATTTGTTTTCAAATTCTCCTTTGTAGAGCACCTGCCTCCAACACATTCTTATAGAGGAGCCGAGTTCTAGTAGGTTCAGGCCTAACTTTCCTTCAAGAACAGTCAGATCCCAAAGCATCTTTGCAAATAAGGCGGTGTTAAATTTTAAGTGAATTTGGATAGTTACATCTTTGTAATAACCTTTTTAAAAATAAGATTACCAAAACCTGTGTTTTTGTTGTTTTTTTTTTTGGTTTTCTTTTTAAATATTCAGCTTAGCAGACAAGCAGTTCCTCTGACAAAATACTTGTTGTCCCTTTGGGAGTGCTAGGTTTGTGTCACATAAGCACTTGTAGCAGTGAAGAAAGTCAAGATGTATCACAGATGGGAAGTGTTTGCCTGTTCATGTAAAGCTTATTGAAATCATGTCTCTTGTCCCTTCATCTTTTCCATGCTTTTCTCCTAACTTCTCCCGCCAACCACTCCTCCTTACAATTTGCAACTTACTTCTGGTGGCAATGTTAATATTTATGAATTGAGTTCTTATCAGGACAACACTTCTTGAACTTTGATGATGAAGATAGTATTGTCTCTCTTTATTCCCTTCAGTGAAGTTACCTTTGTGTCAGATGCAGCTTTGTTAAGCCCTTAAAATATCACTTCCTCATGTGTGAGATGACACAATCGCTAATATTATGGTAACTTAAACAAATGAGATAGTAAGTGTTTAGCAAACTAGGATGATTTTTCCGTATTTGCCAAAATCCCTGTAAACCTTTTGTTATCTAATAAGTATATAATATTGTATTGTTAATTTATTTTTGATTTTCTGTACCATTTCAAAAATACATTACATAAAGAGGGAACCAAGACTTCTTCAGAGCAGTGGATTTAGAAGTTTGTAAAATGTTTTACATGACGCATTTGCCAGCATGCCTATGATTTATTTCCTTCCTAGATTTGTCATTGGGTCAGCAGATGTGGACGTAGAACTTGCGGGCCCTCTGCTGGCTATAGAACAAAATAGCATAAATAGGATTTGGTTTTGTATAGTGGCTGGCAACCATTGCGTACAATATTAAAATAGACGGAAGGTACAGTGTGGAAAGTCTCAGTGACTTTCCTGATAACAACTCTGACTTAGGAGAGTCATGGGGTTTATCTGGTCCTTCAAAATGACATGGTTGTGTAGATTCTCCCTGGAAATTGACTTCGTTAAGTGAATAGCACATTTTAGTGTCTGGTTTGGTTTGGATAGTAGCACTTTCTATCATATTGTTGTGTGCAATGATGAGAGATTTGTTCTGCTGGCCAAAGCCTCTTTTCAGCAGTGCCTTGACATCATGCTTCACAGTTTGGCTAGAATTTCTTGCTGTTATGGCCTTGAGCTCTGGCAAGTGTTGAACCTTGTAACTTCCAAATTTGCCTTCCCCTCTGGACCTCACGGTAACAGGCAAACCTTTCAGGGCCTATCAGCTCTCAGAAGCTGTGGGCTTTCCCAGATTTTAAAGCTGCTGCCTCAGGAACTACTCACTTCTCTCCTGGTCAGCACGCAGACATAGCCATACCAACCGTATAGGGCTCACATGCATCTTCAGGCAGCAGGGGGCTGAGTAGCACGGCAGAGGCCTCCTTCACTGCGGGGGAAAACTCACTCATGGTGGGCAGTGTTCCGAGAGAGACCACATCGATGGTCACTTATTGACGCATTTCGCTTCCGTTTCCTCTTGTTTAAAACTTGCCTCCTTAGATGTGGATGCCTTAATGCTCTCACACATTTGAAAACATTGGCAATACTGAAGTCGCTGCCATAATTACAGGTGGAATAATTGGCGACCAAAGAGATGCGATTGATGATGTAAAGTATGGTCCTTCCTTCCTCATCACCAAAGTTAATTGCAATTTGACTCCCTTTCTTTGGTAGGGATAGACTTTCTTCAGATTGAAAAATATTACTGATCCATTCCCCTCACTTGTTCTCCAAGGAATCGCTTATCCGTCCCTATTTCCCCAAAGCAGTGATGTTCTAGGACCAGCAATTTTCCTGTGCGTGCTATTGCCAAGTTCCTTTTTTTAGGCAAAGGCTCTGCACTGGAGTGTAGACAGCTGGAAATGGTACCGCCTACAGAGGCTATGTGTTCTCTCTTCCCACCCCCCTACCCCATCTCTTTTTATTTCCCTATTCAAAACAGCCGAGATAGCCCTATTCCTGTATTTTGAATCATTAGAAAAAAAGAGAGAGGTGGCCATTTTGAGTGGTCAGTTCTTTGTAGAAAGGAGAAGATGTAATTGTTTTTTACCGGCCTGCTTCTAAGTGTCACTGCCTAGTTTTTATCTTTTTCAAGAATCAGAACTAGGAGGACACACCAGCATCGGAGTGTATTAAGCCCCTCAGACACATGGTAGCTAGGTACTGAACACAGGAACAGCACAAGCCCCCAGAGAACGTTCCTACCTACGGGGCATCTGGGCCCCTGGGGAGATCAAGAATAATGACCAGATTCTTCCAAAACTGCTACAGTTCCAGGAGAGAACCCTCTGTAGGTGTTCTTCAGGGGAACCTTTCTCGGATTAGAAAATTTCTGCTCAATACAAAATGGTCCACATGACTCAAAGAACGCTGTTGGAGATGCTGTGAAATTAAAACCAATGATGTGGCCCCTTTGTACCTGAGACACCTAGATTCACCTGAGAAGACCTGAGGGAAATCTGTGACTTGTAGCAAAGGACTGGACAACCATTAGGAATTCTCTAGATGTGCTCAGCTTAACATAAAGAGATTGGCTTTGATCTTTTTTCTAATAGCATCTTCTAGGAGGTTGGACGTCTCATGGGATAACACTGCAGTTCTCCTGGTTCAGTAGCCTGAACAGTGATTTTAAACGTCCCTTTTTCTGGATCCTTTGTAAACATGAAATCATTCCATGGATGGCTGCCTTATAATTTTATCTCTTTCCACTTTAATTGTGAATGGTTAAAAAAATTTTTTTGCTGTTTTCTGATTTGTTTTATGATATTAAATTTTTATTAGTGCGTACCTTATGTGAGTGGCTCATTACTTATCCTCTCAGCAGTTTGCTTTTCCTGTTTGATAATGGGATTTGACCCACATCTGAACATCAGAGAAGGTCATGAAAAGCTTTGAAGGGCAAAGGAAAGATATACCTACTATGTGCACATCCTTTAGAGAACAAGGGAAGGAAAGGAGGCGGGCAGATTAAGGACTCCATATGCCACCTGCCCCAAATTATACCAGTTCATTGATGGTTTTGTTTGCTTTGCCATTGTTTGTTAGCAAATATTATTTATGAAGGTAGCAATCTACTCCCAGAAAAGAGAAGCAGGCAACGGATCCCAGTCACAGGGGGTTCATTTGGAAGGGCAGAGTTGCTTGCTAGATGAGTACATAGAGGCTGTGGACAACTGACCCTGGTAATAGAGATTCATATAAAAGTGCAATTTGTAAATTTGATAGATATTTTCTCCCCCTGTGGACTAGTACTGGAGCTCATTTTTTAACTTATATTCAGATAATCATTACATACAACAATGTATCACTTAAATATGTAGTTTGTATGTTTAGTTATTAGATTTCATTATTTATTACTAGTCCACTTTGTGCTGGTTTTCTTTATGTATCACATGTTCACATGTGCTACAGCAACTCACAAAGATTGTGTCCAGAAAACCTCTCCTCATCATGAAGAAAACAGGCAAAAAGGATGTGTATTTACTATTCCTGCCATCTCTTCCAGGAGCCTGCGGGACAAGTGCCTACAACCCTCCTTGCCTTGAGCAGTGGCCATGGAGGTCTTAGGAAGCCCGCATTGTTAAGTGACATGCCAGCGTTTTCATCTTGCTGTCCTGAGATCAAAATATAGAGGGTGCCAAAAAAATGTATATACATTTTAAGAAAGAAAAAACTATTAAAATTATGCTGATGGTAACCACTTTGAACACCTCTTGTAATTACAGAAGTCAAATGTGACTTGTATTCATCTTTTGTTATCAAGAGTATTACAATTTTAATACAGTTTTTTCCTTTCTTAAAATGTGTATACATTTTTTTTGGGCATCCCGTATATACAATATGAAGGTTTAGCTCAAATAGCCGCAATCCTTATTCTGTTTAGTTTTGTTTCTAATTTTAAGCTACAGCTGCATCCCAGTGTGGTTTCTATAATGTAAGAAGCCACCTTGTATCTTGTCCCTGTGTAGAATGCCCGCCCCCAGCACTCTCCCCTCCTTCAGGTCTTGATCCAAAGTCTCCTTTCATTAGGCCGTCAGTGTCTGCCCTTTAAAATTGTAATCTGCCCCACCCCTGCCCCAATGCTCCTCACCCTGTTCTAGTTCTTTTCTGTAACACTGATCACCTTTTAACCTGCTTCGTAATATGTGTCTTTACTTTGTCCCTCTTCTCCGCTAAGATATAAACATCAGGAAGCTAGGCTCTCAATAAATATATGTTCTTAAATGAGTCTGTCTGTCCTGAGAGGACACTTTTTTCCTAATCTACACTCCTCCCCAACCCCCAGCTGCTGTCCTGATTCCTGGCAGAACCAGCTGCTGGCCTGTGTAGCTCGACCTTTGCCTCACACTGAGGTGAGGCTGCTTGGGAGTTAATGACGGCTGGGAGTCAGAGAAGACATGGCACTGAATACACAGGTGGGAAATTAACTGGGTTCAGGTTACTAACCCAGTGCTAAGTAACTTTAGTAAGGTACTGGGTGACTGATTTAGGGAGCGAGAAATCTAGGGCTCTCATTTCTGGCTCAGTTACTGATTTCTGCTGCAGTGGCAGTCACTGCCCAGTTTTTAAAATATTGGATAGGAATATGAGTGAAAGCATGTGTCTCACTCTGGTTGCCTCATTTACAGAGATCCTCACGAATTCAAGAGTCACCAGAAGAGGGAGCCCAGTGGAGAGGGGCTGGAAAGCCAGGAGCCTGGAGGAGGCGGGGAAGGAATGGACTGTTGACCTATGTCGGGAAGGCTCCTGGGGGCAGAATTTGATAACCACCATCAGGTCTATTCTCGAGAGGATAGAACGGGAAGGAGGCTGAGCCCCGCCGCTCCTCCACTTATTACTCAGTGAAGTGAGCTGGTCCTGTGGGCCAGGCACGCGAAAGTGCTGAGTGTGCAAAAGGGAGTTCTTTAAGGAGCTGTGGTCCAGTGAGGGATGCAAACAGGAAAACACAATTGCTGATAGTGAGGTAAGTCCCGGGAGACAAGGAAGCACAGGCTACCCGGAGAACATGGGGGAAAGGAACCCAGAGTGGGGGCTTCAGGGAGAATGTCCAGAGGGAGACGAGACCTGAGCGGAATCCCAAGGCTGAGCAGAATGAGTTAGTGGGAAGGTGCGGAAGGTTCCCTGATCAGGAAGACCTACGTGGGCCAAGGCCTGCTGGCACACAAACACACGGCCTGGCCTGCACGGAAGTGCCGCTGGCTGAGGAGAGCGCAGGCAAGAGGTGGTGTGCAAGATCTGTCCCTAGATGGCTTCTGAGCTTCCAGGTTTAAAAGTCTACAGATAATTAGGCTGCAAGGGTCTTCGTAATTCCTGCCTCGACCCTAACTGGGATCCCTTCCCAGGTGCAGTTTTGGCTGGCCTGAGTTCCTGTCACCACACCAATGACTCATGGGTGTGGGAGTCCGAATTTTCCAGATCCTTGCACTCCAGTGGCTCTTGGAGACTTCCCTTCCCTCACGTCTGCTGTCTCCCACATTTCCTGGCTGGGGCCAAGGACGACTTCTGAAGGGCCCCTCGTTCTGCTTCTGACCAGCTGTGTTAAACAGCTGTATACAGAGGACCTGACCTGCGAGCGGTGTCCAGTCTTCCTTCTATCCTTTGGTTCCCTCTCCCCAGCACTCCTGTACTCGGCTCTCCTTTTTTTAGGGGACTTGCCCTGGAAGAGGAAGTGTCCCCTCCCACATACTGTCACTGTCTTACCAAAGCCTCCCTCCTCCACCTCTTGCTTCCTTCCAACCCTCCAGCCCGTGTGACTTGGGTCTTCCCTGGGCTGAGGGCAGAGGGTGCGGGTGGGAGGGGCGCAGGAATGTGAGTAAAACCTGTTATGTTCTCTTCTGTCCCTGCTTTCGCCCTGCCTGGTACTATGACAAACCAGAAAAGAACATGCTCTTCAACCTGGAAAAAATATTCCAAGGGTCTTGTGGTGCTGAGAGTTGGAAGGGCCCTTTTTTGATATATGAAGCCACAAGGGTTTCTAAGTAACCTGCCCAAGGTCTTTTCACTGAGTTAAGATAGAGCTGACACTGACGCCAAGCCCGTCACCTGGTCCGATAGTTCTGTTCTAGATGAGAAACTAGGACCCTGGCTCTCCCTCAGACCTTGTGGGAGAGTGTGTGACATTTTAACAATAAATGGCTTTGGGCTTATCAACTAGACTGAACCCATGCCCCCTCCAATGAAATATTATACTTGCTCTTAGAAGCCAAATTAATGCATACATTTTAATCCACACATCACCTACGAGGGGAGCACTGAATACCGTAAGTGTTTCTGAGCAGTGGGCACCCTTGGATGCCAAGAGCCCATGTGAGTGCTGTGAAATGTCTGGCAAGGCAGCACGGTCCTTGGGCCACCCCCAGAAACACTTGTACATTGGCAAGCTCAGGTGTGAGCAGTTGTTGAGCAGAGAGAGGGCAGAAGCCTGGCAAGAGGCTGGCCCTGATGATGAAAACAGAACGATCTAGTGCAAGGGACTCGTCTCAGGACGTCTGGAATGGGCCCACACATGTCTCCTTTGCTCCCCCACCCTCTGAGTCCTTTGGCCTGCTGGCTCCGAACTTGCATGCGGTGTCTAATACCCCACCTCCCTGCCTCTAGGGTTCAATATAATTCAAAAAGAGATGTGTTTTAGTCCTCAGAAGGGAAGGAGTGGCATCGGAAAAGGCTTGACCAAAGAAAAGTCATTTGAGCTGAATCTTGAAGTAGGATTTTGGGAAGATGAAAAGAAAAGCATTCTAGACTAAGGGAACAGCAAGTGGAAGATGATGTGAAAGAGTGTGGCGGCTTCTCCGAATATTAGGAGCAGAGTATGGGGGAAAGTGATCTGGGGTGAGCCTGCGCAATAGGTCAGGACCAGATCGTGGAGGATGTTAACAGTCAAACTCAGGGAGATCCAGCCAAGGGTGTTAAACAGGAGGCTTACATGATCAGTTTTGGGCCTTGAAAAGGTCACATGAATGATGGTGGCGAGTGGGGATTCGTTGGGGGTCCTGCTGAAGATGGGAGAGTCATTTGAAAAGGCTATTATCGCACAGTCCAAGTTCAAGTGGAAAAGAAGGACTTACGGGAAGCAAGTTGGGAGGCCCAGAGAAGTCCAGTGATTGTCTTCAGGTCACACTTCTAATGGTAGAGCTGGACTTAAACCCATCTTAACACAAAAAGCAGGTGACGAGTCTGCCATCTAAAGGTTCTCAGCCACCCCACAGATTCTGTTTTACAGATGAGGAAAAGCTGAGGGCCTGCGAGGGCAGTCTCCATAGGTTGGCAGCACCTGGACAGGCCGAACGAAAGAAAATTCCGTAAGCGTTTGTCGAGCACCTACTACATGCCATGGGCTCTGTCCTCGAGGAGCTCAGTCCAGAAGGGACACAAACAACATAGAGAAAAACTCCCAACGAGGCAACAGACATGCATTAGAATGGAAGGACGGGCAAAGGTCCACAGGAACCACGAGGATGGCGTAGTTTCAGCTGAAGTCCCCTGTGGAATCCGGGAGAGGAGCCTGACTGCTGGAATTAAGGTTGGAGGAGGGAAGAGTTTCCATGGAAGAGATTTGACACTGCGGCAGGGCCTGGCTGGGAGCCCAGATCTTCATGCCTCCTGCTTCCTGGCCCGATAGGAACACTTGTGTTGGGCCCAGCCATCAGACTGTCACGGGTACAGGGACAGCTCAGGGAATCTAGAGTAGGAGCATTCCTAGGCCCTTTACTTGGCACCAGTATGGTCTGCCTACCTGAGAGGGGGTCAGGGACAGAGAGCGCTGGGAACTGAGGAGCTGGTACTGTGGG